TACTCTCTATATTGATATTTTTTTTAGTTAATTCTAAATTCTAATCTTAGCTATTTTAATTTTTTAAAATTTTAATTTCAGAAATAACATATTTAAAAATTACTTTATTCATAGATTATAAAATTGTTTTTTTTTTATTTTTATTAATAGTATATTTAATATAATAATAAATTATTTTATAAAATATATACTATTAAAAATTAAAAATATAGTAAAATTATTAAATATATATATATATATATATATATATTTATTTATTTATTAAAATTTAAAATATAACAGTTTGGGAATACTACTCACAATAGAAAAGTGATTTTCCACCTATAAGCAATGTTAATCGCCCAAAAATTGATATAAAATAATGGTTGAAAAAGTGGTTTTTAACATAACCTCATAAAGTTCACATTTCTAGCTTTTATTGTGGAAAATCATTTTTAGGCGAAGTTATACTTTTATCCTCAAATATTATATTTTCAATTTATAATATAATATCTAAAATACACATTTATCTTTTTCAAATCATCTTTTTACAACAATCTTTAGAATTAAATTTTAAATTGCATTTTTTTAAAATACGTTTTACAGTATTTTTAAAAATTATTTTTCAAAAATAATACCAAACTAATTTAACAAATCATTAATATAATTTTTTTAAGTATAGCACCATCTGAGGTTTATGAATTGTGCATTTAAAAATTATATTTATTTAATATTTAAATAAATTAATATGTTTATTTGTCAAAAATATATAATTGAATCATGATTAAAAGTTTACGTATATAATTATATTAAATTACATGTTAAATCAAAGCTTATATATAACTTTGATAGTCACCTCATTTTCATTGAAGAAAGGTAAGGGATTATTATAATATTATATCTATTATCCCATTAAACAAAGGTAAAGAATTATAATAATATTATACCATAGACAGTACTAGCAGAATTATTTGGCTTAATTAATCCGGTTAGTATGAATATCCCCCCCCCCACACATGATTTGGCAGGTAAGATTAAGGAAATCAAATTTTAGCCTATTTGATAATCGTAAATTGACTGCTTTTGGTCTCTTAAACAACTTTTCACTCAAATATAAACTCTTTTCGTACCACTAAATTTATCATTTATTAAACTTTTATGTGATGATTAAAAGTTTTGAGGATATATTATTCGAACTTTTATCCATAAATAAGAAATTATAATTGCAAAATTTTACTATAAAAAATTAATAAGGGGAAATTTTAATTCGACGAAGGGGGGAGTTTAGTTAATAGAAATTTCAAAAGCTTTTCCAAGAGCTTTGTTCACATTTTAATTAAATGGTTAAATTTTAAAAATAATTTTATATTCAAAACTTTATAAAATCTAGATAGCACATATATTCTTTTTTTTTAAATATCAATTTTAGGCATATTATAGGTGGTGTATGTGTATTAATTCTTGAACTCTATCTAACATTGACTTTAATCGTAAATCACCAAAATATATTTTCAAAGATAATTTTTATAAAATCTAAAAAAAAAATGTGATTTTATAAATGTTTGATCGCATCTAATCCAAACAAATTGATGTAATTACATTTTACCATAACATGCATAATTTTCGTAAGAAAAAAAAAGAGTTTTAATAATTAAAAAGTTTTCTAGTAAATTAAAACTATTTATCACGTTTTCTATGTTGACAAAGATGAGGTGTTAGTTTTTTTATTATTATAAACTCTAAAAGTCGGTAAGAGGGGTCCTCCATTTTCTCCATATTTCTAGGCAGCACCTTATAAAATTTCTTGATATTTGTGACTGGTGAAAAGAGGGTCAAACTCTTTACCAGAAAAATCAAAGATGAAAAGGGAATTCATCATTTTTGTGTGAATGAATCCATGAATTAGGTATAAAAGTGGTGATTCAACAAATGAAAGAATGAAAAATAAAAGCCAAGACAAAGAATAGAGTCAACAAGATAAGAGAAATAGAGAAAATATAGGTTCCTAAAGAGGAAGGTGATCATGTCAAAAGCCATAACCACACAAAATGAACACTAATCTAATATTAAAAGTGTCACGCAATAACATCCCAAACAAGAGTTTCGCACGTTATCCCTTAAGATTGTTTTGTATACCATATTCCATGTTTCCTCAGTTTTGCTTTATTGGTTAACCAAACTTGGGGATAATTTATTGTCCTCGTACATGAACCATGGCTCTAATCTTCCATCTTTTTCTAATTGCAGGGCGAAAACAGTTTACTCTACTGTTTTGCCCTTATTATTTAAAATGGATACTCAATTGCCTGAAGAAATAGGTCAATACATGGAGTGTCTTAAATTTCTTCCATGTTTTTTTCCTATATTTAACAATGTTTGTCCAAAGTCAAAATTGATTATGCGTTGTTTCAGTTTAGAGATTAAACCCACCGCCCATTCGCTTTCTTTCTTTACGTGCAATCAATGAGCTTGGCTTTATTGGTAAAAAGAGATTTTCAAAATTTTAAGATTTGTTCAATTACATGATGATTAGTTAATTTCCAAAGTTAAAATTCCTTTTTATATGTATGGGTTCAGTTTCATCCTTATGCATATACCTCATGTGTCCTCGTATATTAACATTACATGTTGCCATGTATGTCAAAATTCCAGGAGAAAAAGAAAATGTAAATAGATTGTTGCAGGTCGCAGATTCAGCTTTTTGTTGGAAGTAAAGCAGTCAACATTCTTGGATTACTAAATTATTATCTGATTATGTAGATGATAATGTTAAAAAATAGCCAAATCAATGGCACTTTAGAAGAAAACATAAAAGTTCTTAATTAATTATGTCAACGACTACCTATTTCCATCAACATTTATATATTATATCTTATTGACTATTGATGCAAAGCCTTGACATGCTCCTAAACAAAACCTATGCTTAAAATTATTTCATTGATTCTATTGAATTGTCAAAACTTATCATTATCTTCTCAATAACCTATAGAGCGAGTAGTTAAAAATTGATACATTTTATCTCCCTTAGATTACATGTTGAATAAGCTATTCCAAATTTATAATGACGTGTCCGTTGAATAGGTTTAGACTAAATGAGAGAAATAACGTGATTGAAAAAAAAAATTAGAGAAATGAAAGATGGTACAAATCTAATCAAGAAAATGAGGTTTTTTATTATAAAAAATAATCGAAGTTGTCATCTCATATAAGTGATAAAGGGCAAGTCATCATCTCCTACCAATAATTTTCTTAACATCAACCATAATATAAGATATATACATAACATTATAATTCATATAACAAATGTAATGTTCGACCCAGTGATTAGGGTGCACCCAATTCTTCCTTCAACTCTCAAGTTTAATTCTCTTTGACATTTTTTCCTCTAATCAGAGAGTCGACCAAATTGATAGAATATATAAGTAATAAAAATTAAATATATAATTATATTAATTTTAATTATCACGTTAGCTCCCGTCAAATGTTAAAGTTTGACCGGCTTCATTTAAAAATTTAAGTGATATGATTGAAAAAAAAATTAAAAGATTGATGGTCATATTAAAACTCACATAATTAAGTGACAGGACGGTTATAGTTTACCCAAATATTTTGATAGCAGCTTTCTTGTGCTGTTAACTTGGGTTTAGTGTCGGGTCACCCCTCCGCATTGTAATAGAAAATGGGTTAGGCCTGTAAAATTAAGTTGGCGAGTTTGTATTTTTGGTGTCCTAGAATTGGCCCATTGGACCTATTAAGAGCCCGAATAACTTGAAAGATTCCAATACTTACAAAATATGGGTCTCAAATCTTTCTTCAATTCAATATGAGATCCGAGTTTGTGATAAAGAGCTTTATTTAACGATCAATTTTTATTTAAAATAATGGTCATAATTTGAAAATCATATGTTGTGTAGATCTTCGTGGATTATTATATAAGTTAGAAGTTATATTTTTAAAGAAAATTACTAAATTGGGTTGGAAATATATTTTCTTTTAGATGATCATTATTTTAATTTTCAACATCTTTAAAAATATATTAACTTTTTAATAAATAGATCGTTGAAGATACCCAACTTGATAATCTAATAATAACGTGCACCTAACTTAACAGTCAAAAACCCATACCTATCTCATAAAAGCAATAGTGCCAACTGAATTAAAAGTTGGTTGATATTAGTAGGCTAACTTAATAATCACATATTTGATAACATTTTGACTTCATTTCACAAGTACGATTAGAATAGTAAAGATAACAATTTTCTAATTTATAATTTAAATATAAATAATCAAAAGATGATATATTTTTATAAAGTTAGGTTCCACCTACCTAATATAAAACTCTTTAGCTTTACATAGATTTAAGATCGTTTAATGAATAAAAATAGATAGTTGAGATTGATTCCTTATTTTTTTTCCAGTGATTATCTTATCATTTCTTACTGTTAATCTCATCAATTTATTTTTACTTATCTAACAATCATAAATTTTTATAAAACTAAAAGAATTTTACATTGTGTAACATGATCCTATATCATTTTTTATATCTTTTATATTAAATTATTTAAGTCATATTTTATAATTTGAAAATTTATTTTGAAAATAATCTAGTCAAACTTTTTGACAAAAAAATAAAAAAAATTCGACGTGAATTTCAAACATATAATTTTTTAACCAAATTTTTATTGAAACATAATATTTTACCAAATCCTCTCCTCCCAAATTTCAGACTTATCTTTAGATTTGGAGGGGTAATCCAGACCTTTAACAACTGTACTTTCACCTACAATATACGGTTTTAAATTCCAACACCCGCAGTTACAAGCGCGTGTTCAACAGACTGCCTATTTTCTTTTCTCGCCAGCCGGGGACTACTTCTTTAGCGCGTGGTTTTAAATGGGCTTATGACAGAATCAGCATCAATCCTTTCTCTCCCACCGGAATAATTGTATAATTTAATAATTGTTTATTATTAGTATTTTATATTTTATACATTTGGTATTAAGAGAATACTGGAATAGGGGAGGAACATCTTTCATGCTAAAACCAGCGGTAAATCTCATCAAAGTTCACCATCTTTTATGCAACTGTTGAAAAAATACTTCTTTGTAAGTCTTACATATCAGTTTTTCATATATTTTCTTCTTTTATGCTATCTGCTTTGTTTTTAAGTTAGATAGGATAAGATATTTTCAGGGTTTAGCCTATGTTGTGAATCGTCAGTTTCTGCTGGTTTTAAATACTTCATTTCTATGAGATATATGATGCGGTTTTAATCGATTTCTGGTTTTCTTGTTGGATTAGGTGCAAAAGTTTAGATTTTTTTAAAGTTTCTATTCATGAAACTATTGATGTATTAATTCTATCCTTTTGGCTTTTTTGTTTTCTCGATATAATTTTCTACCATGTCATGATTATTGTTTGATTTAGATTCCTCTAATTTTTATTTCGATAGGCAAAATTTTATACATAAAGAAAGTGTTAAAGTTATTATCTTTGGTTCATAGGAATTGAAATTTGGATCATTCAGAGATTATTATTGGTGAATTACGATAGTCTTGAAGGAATTTGCGTAAAAGGGAAAACGTGTTTTTGTTTTAGGTGCATCTGCAAATTTCAGTGAAAAATAATTCTTCCTTAATAAGTGGCCAACTTGGAATAGAATTTTTCAAGTTTGGATTGGGATTGGTGGATGTTTAGGTTCTTCCATTCACAAGTGAATTCATTTGATGAAAAGTAACATCAGAAAATTCCTAGCTTGAACAAGATCCTTTGAGTGGTCTTCAAGGATTTAGATTCCTGTGCTTTGAGAGCAAGATGCAAAGGGTTCGATTGTCGTCGCAGCAGGCACCTGTACATAAACTAGGGGATTCTCAGATGACATTATCCCCAAAATTTAGATTGTCTGTGGTTCCATCTTCATTGTTGAATCCCTCATCAGAGTATGAGTCGTGTCTTCGAGGAGAACCTGTTATTCCAGGTCTTCCGGATGATGTGGCTCTTAATTGTCTCCTTCGGCTTCCAGTTGAGAGTCTTGCAGCTTGCAAAGCTGTATGCAAGCAATGGCATCTTCTGCTTGGTAATAAAGAGCGGTTTTTCACCCGAAGGAAGGAATTAGGTTTCAAAGACCCTTGGCTATTTGTATTGGCCTTCCACAAATGCACTGGGAAAATACAATGGCAGGTTCTTGATCTTACCCACTTTACTTGGCATACAATTCCGGTAATGCCATGCAAAGACGAAGTTTGTCCCCATGGTTTTAGATGTGTTTCGATTCCTCATGAGGGTGTGCTCTTTGTTTGTGGGGGTATGGTCTCTGATGTTGATTGCCCACTTGACTTGGTGTTGAAGTATGAGATCCAGAAAAACCGTTGGACTGTGATGAATAATATGAATACTGCTAGATCATTTTTTGCAAGTGAAGTGATCAATAGTATGATATATGTAGCTGGTGGAAACAGTGGGGATCTTTTTGAGCTTGATTCGGCTGAGGTTTTAGATCTTGCAAAGGGTAGTTGGGATCCCATTGCAAGCATGGGGACAAATATGGCATCGTATGATTCAGCAGTTCTCGATGGGAAGCTTCTTGTGACAGAAGGCTGGCTGTGGCCATTCTTCGTTTCTCCTAGGGGTCAGGTTTATGATCCGAGAACTAATAGCTGGGAGAGTATGGCTGTGGGATTGAGAGAAGGCTGGACTGGCTCGAGTGTGGTGGTCCATGGGCACTTATTTGTGGTTTCTGAGCTTGAAAGAATGAAGCTTAAGGTTTATGATCCAGACAGTGATTCCTGGGAAGCAATAGAAGGCCCTCCATTACCGGAGCAGATATGCAAACCTTTTGCTGTCAGTACATGCGATAACAGAATATATGTTCTGGGTCGCAACCTTCATGTTGGTGTGGGCTATATTTCAAGCCAGAATCAAACAGGCAGCTCCGAGAAGAGGAGCTTCGGTGTTCGGTGGCATGTAATTGATGCCCCAAAACGTTTATCTGACTTGACGCCCTCGAGTTCAAAGGTTCTGTTTGCTTAGCTTCTCTGAAGTATCACATGTTGTGTCTTGTATGTTGTTTAATAATCCGTAATTATACAAAGTTATAAATGCTGTAGAGTTAGAATGACTGTTGTCTATCGGTAATCTGATAATCAAATATATTTCACCAATCACACTTAAATTTCTGGATTCTTACTGTTATTCTTACGTGAAATGTTGTCCATAACATATTGACTGAAATTTACACTGATGTTGAAGGAAAAGTTTCACATTCGCTGGCCTGATTGATGAATGATGTGCAGAAAGAAGATTATGCGCCTGTCTTAAACTTTGGTCTTTCTGCTTTAAGCTTTACCAAGGTATAATTGTGTTTAGTGTGGTTGAGATTCCAGGGTAGTCCTTACAAGATCTTGTAGGAACTTAAGAACACTTGCCCAACAGTGGCAAGAGAACCAATTTCACGTTATCTTACAAGTTAAGTAATTACGCTTAAAGCATCGCCATGAATTATGGGCGAAAAAAGCAGAATATGAGTGATATTAATATATAATTTTGACTTTCCACTATTTTTATTAATGGAACGAAAGGGAAGGCAAGCCCAGAAGAGTTATAGAGATTCATGTACTTGGAATCTCCCCCTTTTTCTTTTCATTTTCCTCTTTCATACCCTGTGAACGTGTACCGAGCAAAATTGTGACAACCGCCCATGCATATTTCTTTCACCATCAACAATATCTCCAGTAATTTTCAACTTCTCCATCATACTAATTTTCTCTCCAACACATGGAGTTTCTACGCAATTTCCATTATGATGTAATGCTCCGGTTTGATTTTGCACGTGGGAATAACAGGGAAGATGCTAAGTACATTCCTAGTTAAATGTCTTGATAGATCAAAAGTCAAAACACAGCATATTATGCAATATTAATGGGATTAGAAAGCTAAAATGAAAGTTAGAATGCTTCTCTCTCTTTCAGTAAGAAATATCTGAGATTGTCCATTGCGGAAACATCTTATATATTTCCATTAACCTTCCTTTGCCAAGTTTACGACATCATGTCATGTCCCTATCACTTACAACTGTCTCATAAATCTTAACGGAATTCTTAGATTTCCTCCACGTCGATGCACCAAACAAGAATTGGACTATTTTATCATCAAGGAAACCGCTCTCGTGCAGGTTCGGAGAAACCTGGTGTTGGGGTGTGCGGTCTGAAACTCCTGGGAAAAAAGGAGACAAGGTCAGTTTCACTTATCCAAAGAAACAATATTATGATTCTCTTTTATAATGTCAATCACACACGCACAAGATATTATAAAATGGTTTATCCAGGAGTTAACATATTAAAAAGAATTAACTCTTGTCTATTAACTATTAGTCAAATATTCAATCATTGATCCGCTTAGCCTTTGTCTAAATTCCAGGAAAAAATAAATAATTGAACATTACTAATTTTATCAAAAAATTGTTTGTATATGATCAATTTATAAATATAATATGAAAGATGACTGTTAGAAGAGGAAAGACTTTGGACAATTCCTTGCAAGCGTGCTTTGACGAAGACTCGCTAATTTGATCCTCTCCTTGCGGGCCAACCAAAGGAGTTTTGCTTTGACTGTGCACAATTTCCTTTGTCATGCTGTCAACCCAACGCCACACCCTCTTGTTTTGCCCTCTATAAAACCATCCCCTCCAACCCACGTTACAACTTGCAACATAGCTCTAAAGTTGTTTCCTATACGCAAGCAAAGAAATACTGGTTCCGATTACTTTAGTTTATTTGTTTCTTTTTAATGTCGGCTAGAGGTGCATCCCATGAAGATGTTAAGGTAGTGCTAATTAATACTCAGTATGTTGAAACAGACCCCCAAAGCTTCAAATCTGTTGTTCAAAACCTCACGGGCAAGGATTGTTGCGTTGCATGGATCGAGGAGAGTTCATTTTCCGGTTTAAAAGCCGATACAAAGGTGAATGGAAAGGTTGCTGCTGAGAGGTCATGGAACGCTGCCACTCCTGGCGTCGGCAGTGGCGGTGCTTCCATGTTAACCAAGGGTTATTCTTTTAAAGACTTGGATAGAATGATCTTGGAGGCGCCGCCAGTAGACGAGTTGAAGTGGTTGTGGGCTGACTAGCAAGCAAACAAGATCTTCATTATTTTTTACATTTTTGTGTATATATCTATTTTAAATTTGTTTAACTATATCTCGAGTACTTCTGCTTCCGTAAATTAAGGGTAAATTACAGATTTAGTCACCAACCTATTCTAGTTGTTCTGTTTTGGTTTGCTAACTACTTTTTCAAAATCATATTTAATGTTATGTTTTGATTCTATTTTGATCACCCGTCACTAAAAAATCAACAGTAATATTGACAGGTCACAATAAGATAATGACATGTCATCATTGAAAAAGAAATTATCATGTCAGTATTTTTGTTTATTTTTTAACGACTGGTGATCAAAACAGAATGAAAATATAATATTAATAATGATTTAAAAAAATAATTAGTTGAATAATCAAAACATAACCATAAAAATTGGTAGGTGATTAAATAAATAGATTAATAATGGAGTTGTTGGTCTAATTTGAAAGATTTTTCCCTATTTTATTTCTCCATTTATTTCCCTACAAGGGGAATAGTTTTCCTTCTCTTTTACCTAGTTGGGTTCTATGAGACTGTAGAAATGAGTGGCGATTCAAGACTCCACGCCTCCACGGCATGTATGAGGAAATACTTGATGGTGAAAGTATACAAATAGGATAGGATAGAGATATTTTCTAATACACAATATTGTACAAAACAAATACACATATATGGATATTTGTATAATAAGGCTACGTTTGGTATATTTAATGTAAAAGAGGCGTATTGTATCAAATAACATTTGAGTTTCAGAATAGACGAAGAATACTGATTATTATATCCATATATTTGATTGTTGAAGCTTATGATATGAATTAAAATATGCATTTTATTTATTATTACACAATTAAAATAAATGGAAATTTATAATATCAATGTATGGATTATTGAAACATTTCAATATATGAAAATATTAATTAAATGATAATATAAATGGAATCTTAATCATACTTTTCTAAATAAAAAGAAGGGTAAATTACATAAATGGTCCTCCAACTATAGGATATTGCTTACTTGAGTCCCTCAACTATTAAAAATTATAAAATGGTACCCCGACTACAGGGAATTACTTTGTTGAGTACATCAACTATTAAAAGTTACAAAATAGTCATCTAACTATTCATTATGTTCTAAATTAGTCTTTTTCTGTTAAAAAATTTACGCCAATCTGAGTTGGATATTAAACTGCTGAATTAGATATAATAAGATCTGATCTCATAATCTCAAATGACTATCAAATCTCAGTCAACAGGTTAACGTCCAGCTCAGACGATCGTTAACATTTTAACGAAAAAGGACGAGTTTGAAAGATATTGAATAAATAGGTGACTATTTTGTAATTTTTAATTGTCGTGGGACTCAACAAAGTAACTCTCTATAGTCAAGAGACCATTTTATAATTTTTTAATAATCGGATAACTCAACAAAATAGTTTCCTATAACCGGGGGACAATTTGTGTACTTTGTCCTAAAAAGAATACAAAGGTGAGCGGTGGCCTTCAAATAAAAGATTTCCACCATTCCTTTTGAGATTAACAACCGTAAATGATTTTATTTCTGGAGGCGGATAAGCCTAGAAGACATTCGGCCCATTAAATTATTTGGGCTAATTTACGTATCCGATTTTTAATGTGTTAATAATCTAATGTCATAAGATTACTATTGTTTACTAGGTTTTTTCTTTCTTTTTAAGTATTGTTATCTACTTATTTGTCAGAGGATGACGCGTGTGAATATATTTTGTATAACTTTTATTATATATTTTTTTGAATTTTTATTATACATATACATAATATTTTATATTATTTTTTAATAAATATTTTTCATTTCTAACGAAAATGAATGATGTTTTATTATACATTCTTGTAATATTTATTTTTCTTTTTCTAAGTTCTACGTCGTATTTTAACGTGGATTAGTGGAGTTTTTAACGAGGAATACGATATTTCCTTCAAATGTATGAATTCTTCTTTAAATTCACACCATTTTTCCAGAGAAAAAATTGACGACACATTTTAATTTTTTTGGAAATAAATTGACTTCACATCTTTAAGTAGTGTTTATTTGATTATTTTATTGTTCTATCATTGAATTGGACCTTTATATTAATTTATCAAACTCTTGATCTATGCTAAAGTCATTTGTCAACCTGTTTAAATTATTATATTCATTTTAATAATAGTATTGATATTTCTTATGATAATAATTTTGTTGTTAACGTGATAATTTGTTCTTTATTTTTCTTATGATAATAATTTTGTTGTTTACGTGTTAATTTGTACTCTTTGATAATTTTAATAAAAATTATTAATATAATATAATATAATATATTTAATTTTTTATAGATTTTTTTTATCAATAATGTATTTTTATTTTAAATTTTATCCGTTTATAATTATTTGTTTATGTATAACATAATCAAATAAGAGGAATCAAAATGTTAAAAAAATGATTAATAAGAATTGAGAATTGCTATCATTTGTTTAGTAATCGAGAATTGTATTGAATGTGTGGATCAAATACTTTGTCCTAAAATTTTCTCAATAATTAAATCTCAGGGCTGCTTGTCATTAATCTTTTTATTATTAACTTTTTTTCTTTCTATATGTATTTGTTCATTCTACTTGCATGCGGAATATAAAAAGCTACCATGACAAAGAATACCTACTAATAACCATTCTTTTGCTTTTCCATTTCTTTTTCTATCGGCTTATATTATCGCGTAAATCTCTGTTGCGAACCATCATGCATGGAGAAATGAAATTAGCTGTAGATAGGCTGCTTCCTTTTTCAAAGTAAAATGGATTCAACAGTTACATACGCACACCCTTTGAAAATTTGGGTAATTCATCTTACATTCTAAAACTTTAGTGTCCATGGAAAGAAGAATGCTTTTGGGCAAACATATTCATGTGGAAATACTGTTGATCTATCCATTGAACCATCCATGAAATGATTGTTCCTTTTCTAACACCAAAATGTCTTTATCAAAAGTATGTCTCTTTGGTCATCTTCTTTAGGATACACACAAAATCCCATTCGGATATGCAAATAAAAAAGTAAAAGAAGAAGAAGATGGCATTGACCAGCTAATAAGTAAAACAGTACATGGGTCGTGTCTCTTATTTTTCCAATATTTTGTTGATTTATATTATAAATCCATGGAATATACATAGAGATCATGCAACACAAGTAGTGTCGTCTTTTTTATCTCTACTTTTTTTTATCGATGATATATTAAAGCACCGAGAAAGAGATGATAATATCTAGTAATATATTCATAGATGGAAATGACGACTACTTTTAGTGATAGGCCTCTTTGTAACACGAACCTTCACTTTAACAGTCAGATCACATGCAAAGCCGGGGGTTATACCACATTCCCATGCAACTTGTCTCTCTTGCTTTGCTCATCTTCACCGTCATCATCATATATAAAGGTCTCTGTTAAAGACACTAAGTTCGAGTACATTTTAAACAGTATTATTAATTAGGACTAATTAAGCCGCACTTTAATAAAATTTTCAGAGTTTTCTTTAAAAAAAAAGGTAAAGCTGTCAATAAAAGTTCTTAGTTAATATATCTCTTCTTTTTTAAGTTGTAAGTTCAATATTCATTAGAAGTGAAAATTTCTCTTCTCCTCCGGGTAGGAATTGTTAAAAAAATAATTTCAAACTTTCAACGATCGGGGACACCCGGAGGGTTCACTTATACGTTAGACGTGGGTTTAAACTTTAAACCACATATGTATATGTAATATGTTTCTTTCTAATAAAGAAATGGCGAAAAAGGAATTATTGATGTATCTCCTCTGGGTTTTCATTAATTGGAAAGGGAAAGAAAAGAGGCGGCAGAAGAAGGTAGGTTTCGTGAGCTATGCATATTACCAGCTGAAGTTTCAATCTGGAGATACATTTATACCTTTCAACCTCCACCACTACTCTTTAGATTCTGACACGATTGGATCGTCCAAAATTTTAAATAAACAAAATCCCAAACTTATTGGATGATGACAAGATTTGACCTGGAAGAGTCTCTCATGGTGGCTACTTGTTTGTATTTTGTACCATGTTGGCGGTTATCTTTTGACTCTTCATCAACTACAACACATTTGCCTGCGTGTAAAAATACCCTGCTTTCTTTTATTGTTGGGAGCACCTGCCATCTGGAAACTGTAACATGTTTTTCTCATGGTTATTACAATACTTAAATTCAAGCAAATATTATCTTTGATTTTTTTTAAATTAAACTCAACAAACTTACGAACCCAAATATCCTTTTTATATCCAAAAGCGTCATTTTCATTTGAAATACCAAAAAAAATTAAAAGATTGAAAAGAAACCATAAATGAAGATAAGGACACTTAATCTTTGGAAATTTATACGTATACATTCCTTATCTATTCACCAAACCTTACTTTTTCAGATGTGTTTCTTTCTTAGTTTTAATTTATCATATTTTGACAACATTTCCCCCCATACAAATAATATATTATGAAGACTTGAAACCATTGTTACACATACCTCGGTTGTCTCCTTCCCAAAAAGCAGTGTCACAATGCCTCTTTCTATTTCCTTCAAGTTGTAATTTTCAAACTAACAAATTAATTTAGATGAGTTGGATTTGAAGGAGAACTGCAGCTGTCAATTACCTTATCTTTAAAGTGATTCGTAAATGGTGCACTAGTTAATTTTAAAATCTCTTATAGGAAATCGAATTGGTCGATGAATGGAAAAGATCAATTATGACTTTAATTTTGATGAAAACACGACTGGATTAAAATAATAATAAACCTTTGTAATTCTATCACATTACTTGATCATCATAATTTTAATTGTATTGCAAGTACTGGGTATAGTTACGAATTGTATTTGGTGGCATCAACCATCGGTTGTATAGGTCAAAGACTCTATCATAATGTTGCTATGATGAGTGAATGGTCGTACTAATAATTTTTTTCTCCATTTCGAATTTTCATTAGAAAATTAAGTATTTGTTAAATCTTCGTAGACTATTAATCTTTCAATTGAAATAAAAAAAAGTTATTTTAATATATTGGGGGCACATGCCAAGGGGTAAATTTAACTCACGGTGGCTAGTGCAGTTGTGTTGGTTAAAATGAGTCATGAAACCAGGCTTTCTTGTCCTTCTACACAATTTATTGACCTTAATAGAATAATATAAGCCTTAAGAGGTATAGGAATCTAAAGGGTAGATTTTGTTTTAGATTAAAGAAGAATCTATGTTATCACCATTCCATTCATAACTATAAATTTCTCTTCTTAAAAATAAGACAAAATTACACCTATAGGCTATGCCTTACTTCAACATGAAAAATATTGCTAATTAAATATGTGACAATCGATGATTTCATCCATACATTTTAATAAATGGAAATATTATTAAAAATATAGTAATTTTAAGATATTATCATTTATTAACCAAAATAAATAAATATAGTAGAAAAAGTATAATGCTGCATTAAACCAAGGGTTGGACCTTCACCTTTCCTTTTGTCCGAAGAAAGCGGGCGAGGGCAATTGTGTCAAAATTTCACGTTAAGGATATTGGGACAAGTTGACGTGTGTCAGAAAAGAAAGACATGGAGTACTGGAAGAACCCAAGAGGGTTTAAAAACCCAGCTTAAGGTGGTAAGATAACGAAGGCAACACGGACAAGGCAAAGCTAAAACCCCCTTGAGACAACTGCCCTCCAAATTAATTTCAAACAAGCAAAGAAAAGAATTCACTTCCTCTATTCAATTCCCTATATCTTGACACTCTCTTCTTTCTCTTTTCATTTTCATTACAAAGTTTTTTTAAGAAATTGGCATAATGATCCATGTTCTCCTGCTATTTTCTCTCTGTTTTTCAGGTACTTTTTTTTCAATGATCTATTTGGATATCATTAGTTATTTCTTTGTCGAATGTGTTTTAGTTGATGTATTGCTTTTTAATTACTTTACAGATTATGGTTTTATACAAGGAGTTAATTCTTTAGGCATCAATTATGGCCAAGTTGGCGACAATTTGCCTCCACCTGACAAGGTTCTTGATCTCTTGAGCTCCCTTAAGCTCACAAAAGCAAGAATCTACGACACCAATCCTCAGATTTTAACAACATTTGCCAACTCCAACATTGAGGTTATCGTCACAGTTGAAAACCAAATGTTACCCGTCGTAGTGGATCCCCAGCAAGCACTACAATGGGTTAGTACCCATATCAAGCCTTATTTTCCAGCCACCAAGATCACCGGGATCGCCGTCGGAAATGAGATCTTCACCGACGACGACACGTCGCTACTAGGATATCTTGTCCCCGCCATAGTCAGTATCCATGGTGCTTTAGCTCAATTAGGCTTAGATAAGTACATTCAGGTTTCGACATCCAATTCATTAGCGGTTCTGGAGGAATCTTACCCTCCTTCAGCTGGTAGTTTCAAGGGCGAGGTCTCGAGTGTCATGTCACGGTTTTTGCAGTTCTTGTCCAGCACCGGTTCCCCATTTTGGATCAATGCCTACCCGTATTTTGCTTACAAGGATTCCCCGGACAAGATTTCGTTGGACTATGCTCTTCTCAACAAGAACCCAGGAATGGTCGACCCTTACACCAAGCTCCACTATGACAACATGTTATACGCGATGGTAGACGCGGTCGTTTGCGCCATGTCTAGGTTGGGTTACAATGGGATCGAGGTGAGGGTTTCGGAGACGGGGTGGCCATCGAAGGGGGACCCTAATGAGGTCGGAGCTACGGTCCAGAATGCGGCATCTTACAACAGGAATTTGTTGAGGAGGCAGATGAGTAATGAGGGGACACCTTTGAGACCAAAGATGAGGTTGGAAGTGTATTTGTTTGCTTTGTTCAATGAAGATTTGAAGCCCGGACCGACATCAGAGAGGAACTACGGTCTCTTTCAACCTGATGGAACTATTGCTTACAATGTGGGACTCTCTGCCTTGGCAACATCATCGGCTTCTATTTCTCTTACTTCCTCTGCCACCAAGGTAGTCAATACGAGAATAAATGTTGTAAAATATTAGTTTTGTTTATAAAACAAAAGTTCAATATTCCTTTTTTTTTAATGCGCTCTCTTCAAATGGCATTTATTGTTCAACAGGCCTTGAGGGTGGAATATCAAGACTCGGTGTCATGGATGTTTGTGCACTTGCTGGCTTTCCAAGTTTTCATGAGAAGACAACATTAAGCAAAATGATGACTTCATCCGCATGTAAATATTACATTTTGGTAAGTAAGAAAAATTGGGGTTTCTTTTTTATGTCATTTCTCATTCCTGAAATGAAAGAGCAACGGTAACCCCAATTTTTTTTCACGAGTTAACTCTCCAAATCGAACAGCTCTCTACATAGCCGATGATGGTTTCATGAGCATCCCTTTCAACACGCAAGTTCAACAAAAAGAATCAAATCAACCATCATGATCAAATGGGTATAATTTCAGAACATACCCTTTTTGTTAAATCTGCTGATTTTCTTTTGTTGATCATGTACCTGAGGATTAAAGAAGAAGAAAAACTTGATAGCCATTGTATTTCTTTTCATCGTAGCAGTGTAAGCATTTTAGAAGAATTATTTCCTCAGTCGATGTAAACCAAAAGTATTACGTTATCATTGTTAGAGAAAATTCAATAAATAAATTTCTATTTCGTCGCAAAGAAAAGTTTTTCTTTCACTTTTGGACGTGGAATCCACAACTGTTCTTATATAGTCAAAATATATACAAATTCTTCCCTTTTATATCTTTTCCCGCCCCCTACATCATCAGAAAGCTTGTTGCACATGCACCCCCCCCCCACCACCAAAGTTATAAAGACCTCCCACTATCAAATTTCACCCCTTTTGTATATAAATTTAACTCTTTATTACCATGAAATAATATTTAAGACGTGGAAAAGAAAGTTCAAAAGGACCCCCCTCGAGAATTAAGAGATTGTGTGGGTGGAATTGACTAATAAATATACGTAAGCTCTGAAAGCAAAAACAGGTCTATTTTATGTTGTTGGTTGTTTTGGGATTTAGTAATGACGTGTTTTTTTTTTTTGTAGAATTCAGTGGAAATAGAATGAATCAAATTGTTTGAGGCCCCATGTTTATGGAATTTAGCATGTGCCTTTGCTTGAATGATATGAGGATGTGATGGTAAAATAGCTGGTCTTTATTTTGTTCTCCCTATATATCATTGAGATATTATCATTACTGTGATTAACTTTTTTCCACACAATTCCACCATTAATTTTTATAAACAGCTTTGACGAACCTCGTCACTGTCTCTATTCGTCAATATAATCTGTTTTTCACAAAACAAATGTTACATATTATTTCTCTTACATTATTGATAGAATTTAGAATTCCCAAAAATACGTTTAAAAGGGTTATCAATTTCCCATATTTCTAAAGATAGCTTTTATTCTCAAATCACTGGCTAAACTTGTTGATGTAGACAGCAGAATTATTAAGGGAAATCATAAGTTAATAATTACTCAGATTAGACCCAAAGTCAAAAAGGGGAATCAGAAAAACCCCATTGTTAATCATTTGTGCTTATTTTACGTGGGTGTGTCGGCGCACTGAAGAAGTTTGCCAAGGAATCAATAGCTCAATCTTCTTTCTTCTACAAAATTTATATTATCCTGGCATGGGATTTAGGAATATCATCGAATGAATCATAATCAGCCACATTGGTATTTGGTATTGTATCTAATAAGTAGCACAAAAGAGAAGAATTTTTCCTCCTCCCAATGATGTTAATTGGGTTTCTATGTAAAGGAGTACATTTCATTGCCATTTACTTTCACGTTTTATTCCACTCTATTATTTATCAATTTATTATCATCTTTGAGAAGAAAATAGGGAAAATTGCATTTTCCTTTGCTCTCGTCAAAATTTAATATCAATTTATTCTTATGCCATCATCAAATATTTCTTTAATATATTTAAGGAAGATTGAATTACGGTTATCTCAAATATAATTAAGTATATTATGTGTAATATATTCAATAATAATATAATTATAAAAGAATTAAATAAAAAATTAAAGCATATAACCTTTATATTTTTATAATTTTATCATATGGGCTTAAGCTTGAAAATGAGAGCTACGCCAGTTCCATACCGTTAGTGTAATATGTGGGGTCTGAAGCCCAAAATCATTAGACTGAGTCCAAAGGACTAACCCAGCACACCATTGACACTTGTCATATGCTCATTAACTTCTCTATGTTAGCGAAGACTTAAAGAATTTCCCAACACTACGAAAATTAGTGTGATCTGAAATTTATGCCTAATGTTGGTACAGGTACATGTCTCTCTAGAAGGGAAAAAAATTCAGACAGAATTCAAGCCTATATCATTTGGTGTTAAATTTCATGGTGTCAAAGGCAAGAACTATCGATGTGCTGTTCCAAAATTGAACAAGGAAATCGTACCAGAGAAGTGCAAAGTGGTACTACAAGAGTCTTCATCACATTGGTCAAGTGCATCCCATTATTTTAAAAAAAAAAAGTAAAATTTAGCATAATATGTTAAAGAAAAATGGAAGAATTTTTTTTTGCATCCCCATTATTTTTAAGAGAAGAAAATTAAAATTTTAGACCCCATTTATAAAATTAAAATTTTAGACCCTATTTATAAAATTTTGAATCCGCAGACAAGATAGTTCCTGACAGATTGAACATGTATAGAGAAACTCGTTTCTTACTACTTAATAAGTATTTATTTATAAATGAAGATTTTAACTGAAATATTAAATACTATCTCCCTCTCTTTTCCAGTCCTAAAGATATAATAGGTCGTAGTTGTATTAAATTGGTGGGTTTAAATTTCCAAGAACCGGAGATGGAATCAGGTGAAGATAAAAAAAACTCTGAAGACGGTGATTTCAATCCTTCATTACCGGGTTAGGCAATATTTTAGCAAGACAACGTGCATTTTTTGTTGATAATTGCACAAATAAAGAATGAGCCGACAAAAATCAATGCATTAAACATATATATATATGTAAGACCTCTTTGACTTGGCTAAAGTCATTGGCTCATTTCTCACAGTTATAAAAGAATAAATATAATCAAAATCATTCAGTAATGTAGACATTCTAGCTAAATAAATAATTTTCTAGTAAAAAAACGAGCCAACTTTTTTCCATTCCATGCATGGAGTGCACGCTACGAAAAAACTCCTATTCCACGAGACAGACAGGAGCCCTGCTAACGATGCCACTTCACATGCAAACTTCCAATTTTCTCGTCATACATTCAGAGATATAAATTACCAGCAGAGAATGTCAAAGCAACAAACATTTTAGTCGAAGAATTGGGGTATCTTAACTGGTAGCCGTTTCTGTTCGATACTACAATGTTGAAAACAAATGAAATATTGAAAGTCAAAAAGGCTGGGCCCTATATATCTTCCATTGTTTTGTAAGCACTTCGCCGAGCCATGTTGAGATAGTCCAAAGACCAGTCATTTAGGTGAAATCTACATTGTTTTACCCAATCAACTTTAAGAGAAGCTTTTTCACTTCCAAAATGCGACACATGAGCTGTTGATTTGGCCATCTTGGCATCGAGAGTGAACTATTGATGATGCTCCTTGTTACGTGTACAAACTATTGCAGCTTTATATCTCGCATTTCATGAATTCCCTTTTTCTCGGAATGAGAATATATTAAAGCAAAGATTTGAAGGAAAACACCGCATATATTCTGATATTCATGTCTCAGGAAAATAATCAACCAAGTAATACAAATAAAACGATAAACCCTAGCCTAGCTAGCAGACCAGAACATATACGCTACAGTATAGCAGTACTGCATTTGATTCTGTAGGGGGAAAAACAAGGGCTTTATATCTATCGTGTGTAACAGGAGTGCATGGAAATACTAGAGAGGCAAAACTAAGAAAAAAGATTTGCATAAACTCTAATGTATATTTACTATCCGCTTTTATTATATCTCCACATTACAAGATTGGTATAATATTGTTTTCGATCGATCATTCAAGAAAAGGGAAGATGAAGATGAAGAAAGATCCAATAGCAAGTGTAAAGCTAAGCACAACAAAATCCACTTGGACTAACCATTCGTCTTTTTCTTATCCGTTAGGTTTTCAGATGAAAACTTCGGGCTCTAGGGTTTGGCAGTAGCACCAGAGAGGCCACAGATAAGGTCCTGGGCAACAGCGGAGTCGGGCTTGTCATTGTGGCACGGAGATGAACCCGAAGGAGGGACGAAACCCTTGGGAAGCATGACGGTGAAAGGCCTGGTCTTGAAGTTGCTATCCATGTTGATCTTCCTTCGTTTCGTCATCTTCCTCTTTCTCTTTTTCTCGAATCCCCTCTCCGGCTTATTCAATAAGAAGGGTGTGGTGTTCTTGATGCGCAGCACTTGGTACGCTGAGGGTGGTTGGCGATGGGAAGGATCGGCAGTGTTGATCTTGGGATGGATTTCGTTGCATGAGGCAGGGGAAGAAGAAAAGGAGATCAGGAGGAGGAAGGCGAAGAAGATGAGAAGCAGAGCAAAGAAATGATTCAAGGTTTGATTAAAGAAAACCATGACGGAGTATGACGGAGTAGAGAGTTTAGGTTGTGATGCATTTGTATATGACGAAAGAAGAGAACTAAAGAAAACAAAGAAAAAGGTTTGGTATCTGAGATTTGAAATCTGTCAATCCCAACACGTTTGTTGCATTTTTTAAGAGAGAATGCGAGTATGCGATTATGTGAGGCAGGTTCAGGCTTGAATCCACCCGCGTGGGTTTATTATATTCAGTTTTATTAATTTTCAGGATGCAATATATATTATTAATCTAATATATATTTAAAATCATTATTAACCATTTGTCACAATGCGACATATATTATTTGTTTAAATGTTTTATTAATCTACACATACCTTTATTAAGTACTTGAATTCGAGACCTCTAAAGAGAATAGTTTGAAGTGATTATAATATAATATATATTCAAAATCATTCTTAGTCATTGATAACACACAGTTATACGAACTTGAAACTTTTAGGGAGAATAATATTCTCTTTTATCATTAAGACCACTCAATTAATTCTTCGTACCAATGTTATTGTTGGTTAATAGATGGGAAAATACTTAAAAAAACACTGCCTCAATTAATCAAATTTTTATTTTACAATATGTAGTAGATAATAGTACTAGAGTCTGCATTTTGTTTGTTCCTAATAGATTATGGTTTTTTGCTAAATACAAAACAAGAATATATTTTCATGGAATGGGAAAGGGCATTCATGGTCTTGAGATAATATTCTTGAGAGGACCAAGCTTGATGCATGGTTCTATCAGGAAATAGATTTCCCCACCGATGAGTGTAGTGTTTTCATCAATCTGCGGGTTCAGGAGCACAAGATAGTGTAGGGTTGAACGATTCATTTTTCTTTTCTAATTCATCTCTATGTAATTATTAAAATATTGGAGTGAATTTCGTCTTAAAGTCAAGTGATAATAATTTAATTAATAAAATACTAAAATAAAATAATAGTTGCTAATTAAAATATAAAATACATAATGTATTTTATTTTGATATAATATTAAAATTAATCTTTAATGTTTAATTAAATAATAATTTTAGTATTTATTTTTTAAAATATTTTAGTCTCAATATTTTATTTTGGATCAAAATAACCCTAATTTGATTGAAATCATTAATCGGCTAATGTTTATTTCTTGTTGATGATAAATCACATGTCACATGTATAAAGTAATGACATTATATATATCATGAGTCCAAAGTAATGATATCAATATCATATCAATACTTCGAAATTTGGATATGATGACTTGTTACATCGGCGATAAGTGTTGATGATTAGTCAACCAACAGTTTCGTCCAAAAATGAATTATTTTTTTATCCAAAATAAAATGTTAGGAATAAAATGTTTTCAAAAAAATAATAGAGGTTAAAGTGATTAATTATATGTTAAAGTGTGAAATTTTCTAATATAACTTTTTAGGTAAATTACAACAATATTCACTAACCTATTATTTCTTTCTTAATTTAATTATCGAATTAATTTTTTTTACAAAAACATCATCAATATTATCGTTTTTCTTATTTGATAGTTAATATTTGACGTTGATGTAGTCATTATTTTTCGCAAATTTCACATTAATTTTTATCTCTTTATTAACAATCGTATATTATTTTTTTAATATTTTAATTTGAATAATTTAAATAATTACACGTAACCAACATCTAAATTTTATTTAATTTTATTTAACCAATATGATTACACATATTATTATTATATGCCTGGCGGCTAATGAAAGAGAAAAAGAATATAAAAGTTCAAAAAGAATAAAAAATTATATAAATGTGATCATGAAATTTTTAACTAAAAATTAATTTAATAAAAAAAAGAATAAGTTGATGACTATTTATATAATTCATCTTACTTTTGTATTCATAATTTTTTTTATATATAAAAAATATGTTTCTCAAGCAAACGCGATGAGAAAAATCTAGTTTGAAACTGCGGTCACCCTACATTGAAACGTGCCAAGAGGTGGAGCTCTCTCTGCATCTCTCCGTCTCTCCCGCTGTTGCATTAAAGGCACGATCTTCCATTGACTTACCAAGTAAAAAGAGAAAAACACCAAAGCCACTGGTTTCCTCGCCCAAAGTGATTTTCCCTCGCTTTCTCGTAGTTTCTCTTTCATCTTTTTTTTTGCTCGTTAAGTTGCCGATCTACCTTGTCAGGGGAAAAGAGAAAAAGCTGCCTGAACCGGTGAATTTTGGAAAAGAAATATTTAGATCTGAATCTTCGAGCATGTCGAAGTCGCTTCCTTATTCTATTAAAGATGTTCACTACGATAACGCTAAGTTTCGTCATCGATCTTTCTTCAAGTTAATACATCTCCTTCACTTTCTGTGTCGCTGGATTTGACTCTTAATTAATCATTTTTTTCTTTATCGCATTCATTTCTTTAGCTTTTGGTTTCTTGAATTGCAGCTTTCGATTTCTTTCTTTTTCTTGTGAAATTGAATTGCATTTTGCTCCTTTTAAGTTCAAGTTGCTTTAGTTGAAGTTCATGACAAATTATTCTATTTTATTCATGGATCTGTATGTTGATGTAATATTACCATGAACACGATTATATTTAGTTAAGAAATCAGTTGAAAGGTAAGAAATGGAAAATATTGGTAACGCTATAAGAGCGCTGAAGATCAAAGAAATCCAAATCTTAATGCATCTAATATGAAGTCATATTGATCTTGATAGGTACACATAGCGCGTCGAGCTTTAGAAATTAGCCGTTTGGTTTGAGTAATGTGGTTTTGAACTTCTGTGTGATATCTGATTTTAGTTTGGTGTTTGTAGCGTACTAATTGTTACTCATAGTAAGCCTTGACTATTGAGAGCCCATTCTCCGAATTTCCTGATTGCCCATGCTGGGAAAAATTGGCTAAATTTCCAACAAGATAGCTAAAGATTTGAAAGTTGTAGATTTTTTATGTCATTTTTTGAAGTATTTTGCTTTATTTAGAACCCTTATTTCCCATGCTAAACATTTTATGGTAAGGTAGATGTTTGATTTGAATATATTCTCTATTCTTCTATGTTCTATTCCAGGTGGTCACTCAAACCTTACTTACTGGTAATAGGAGGCGTGAATGCGGAGGTTGTAGTACAGGGAAGTTTTTAGTGTTATTAATGATCTTTGGCTTAGCGTGTCTAATGTTGACTCGTGCAAATAAAACAAATTCTGTTTCTGATGGACTAGCATAAGGTATTGGGACAAATGAAGAACATAAGGAAGTTAATGATGTTGGCATCAGGTTTAAAAAACTTTTCCGAAGAGCACCGCGGCTTCCTCCTCTATTATCACCGGATGAAAAACTTAGTCATGGTAATATTACTGGTAAATTAAATGAGCCAGATGTTGAAGAAAAGTGGAAAGCTAGACAACAAAATGTAAAGGATGCTTTCACCCATGCTTGGTCTGGCTATAAGAAGTTTGCAATGGGTTATGACGAGCTTATGCCAGTGAGCCAGCATGGAGTTGATGAACTTGGAGGTATAGGTGCTACAGTTGTAGACCTTCTTGATTCTGCCATGATCATGGGTCTGGATGAAGTTGTTTCTGAAGCAGGCTCATGGATTGAGTCACACCTTTTAGATAGAATTAATAACAAAGGACAAGTTAATTTATTTGAAACCACAATACGGGTATTGGGTGGTCTATTGAGTGCATTTCATTTGAGTGGGGGGAACCAAGGCATAGCCTTAACACAGAAGGGGGTAAAACCTGCTATTTATCTAAACATTGCAAAAAACTTGGCTGATCGTCTGTTATCTGCTTTTACTTCCAGTCCAACTGCCATTCCTTTCAGTGATGTTGTGCTACGCGATTCCTCAGCTCATCCAGCTCCTGATGGATTGAGTAGTTCTGAAGTTTCCACTTTACAGCTTGAATTCAATTATCTCAGTGCAATTTCTGGTGATACGAAGTATGGCACAAAAGGGATGAAGGTTTTAGAGCACTTAAAAACTCTTCCAAAGGTGGAAGGATTAGTTCCTATCTACATCAAGTATGTTTATTCTCTTTAAACATGACATCAATCCCCAGTTACTGCTAGTTTTTTTGATAAGAATGACAGGCCTCCTTAAAAACCTCCTTCTTGATCAAAGAAGGAGGAAAAGAGTGCCTTAGAAACTTTATTACTCCTCCGAAATTACATAAGATTTAACGTAGACACCATACTGAAAAAACACAACAGACTAAGCTACTCAACATAACCGAAAACCTAAACTCAAACGATAAAACGCACTGGAAACGACTAAACATCAACCAATTCCCATCTTTGCTAAACTATCAGCCTCCCCATTACACACCCTTGGAATCAGTCTAATAGAGTGCACCCTGTCCGTGATAAAAGATGAAATCTCTTTAACTAATGGGAGGATAAAAGCTGGGGCCATTGCTGGTGTATGGACCCATTCCACAGCCGACTTACAGTCACTTTCCACAATCAACCTTCCAACCTTAACCCAACAAGAAGACATATAGATTTCAATGCCTCTCTTAATAGCCTTTAACTCAGCAACCGGCGGGGGACCCTGACCTACATTTTCTGAAAAAGTCAGAAGGGAGTTGCTATTCCAATCTCTCAAAATACCTCCTATACCTCCATTTGAGCCATCAAGTCTAACAGCTCCATCGACATTCATCTTCAAAAAATCCATAGGGGGTGGAATCCAGCGAGAAACCTGAAAATTGTAAATGTTGAGAGCTTTAATACCATCTGCAAGAGATGGATCACCAATCAGCACATCCTCCTGAATAGGACACTTAGGATACTTGGCTAGAAACCATTTAGATAACCTGAATCTAGCAATAAAAAACAGAGACATCCTATCCAAGGGGGAACCATCGAACACCATTGCATTCCTAGCTTTCCATATCGACCAAAATACTACTCCCGGGATAAATTTCCAAATCAACGATTTCCCCCTAAGCTCACCCCAAGAACATAGCAAAGAAGGTGGATCCTTTGGAAGGACTAAGGCTATTTCCCAATAG